CCTCGTCACTTTTTGTAGTGGTGCTGCTGGGTGCTTCCTTCCTCCCTCCGCGCTTTCTCTCCCTCCTCTCTCTGCGCTCCCCCCGCACCCACAGCAGCCCCCGGTAAATGAGAGGAGACAGGTCCTCCTCTCTGCATTTTTTTTTTTTTTTCTTTCCTCCCGGGACCGCAAAGGCGAGATTAAAAGTGGCGTTTTAGTGCCTTTTTCCTGCGATTTTCTCGACACTTTTTTTTTTTTTTTTTCTCTTTTCTTTCTTTCTTTTTTCTTTTTTTAATCTCCAGTAGCGATCTGCGAGGCTGAGGTTTCCGCAGAAAGTTTGGGGGCTGTTACGGTGTGTATTTCTGCGGAGGGGGAGGGGAGCGGGCTCCTTCTGTGTGTGCTGCTCCTCTGGGTGCCTATTGGAGAATAATAGTGTAAGTGACAACCTAGAAGTAGACTTTCTGCTCTTCACACTGGATAGAAAAGCTGCCTTTTTTTTTTTTTTTTTTTTTTTTGGCTTTGATTTTTTTTTTTTTTTTCCCCTAATACCCCCCTCTCTCACTTGCATTGGTTTTATTTTTGAAAGGACAGCCAGACTTAAGTCACCTCCCACCTCCATTTAAACCTGCTACTTTATTTTTATTTTTATTATTATTCTGAATTTTGAGCACTTGTCTGATCAATTGCTCTTCAGCTCCTTCCTCCGCCGCTCTCTCAAAAGATATTTAATATAGATTTATTTTTTTTTTTGTCCATTGCCATTTTTGCTCATGGCTACTCTGTTTCTCGCTACCTATTTTTGCCCCTCCCCGCCTAAAGGAAAATAGCAACAAGAAAACAAGAGAAAAAAAAACAACAACAAAAAAGAATATTAGGGGAAGTAGCCCTCAGGTCTGCTGCCCCCCGCGCCCCCCAGAAAGGGGGGGACCTAGGAAAACATCACTCTCGAACTTCTTCCTCCTCAAGAGCTCGGGCTGCAAAGGAAACCTCCTTTGTTTTTGTTATTTATATGCTGTCAAGTTTTGAAGTGGTGAGTTTCGGGTCGGTTTTGCTAATTTCACTCCGAAAACTGCAGTGTTTCTGTTTCTAGATAAGTACTTTGCTTCTTTGTCTCTTTAAAAGGTCACAGCGAAAGCTTGGCCTGGATCGCGAGAGCCATATGGAACGGATAAGTGCGGAGCCTCTCTCAAATGTGATTATGGGGTTTTATGGGGGAGGGAGGGAAGAGGAGGGGAAACGAATGGGGAGGGGGCTGGTTCGGGAGGAGAAAAAGAACCGGGAGAATAGCGTCGCGACAAAAGAGGACCCCGGCCGGCTCCCATTCAGAAATTGCGCGGTGCGCCCGGGCGCTGGGAAACCGTGCCTCGAAATTGTGCTCGGCCCCGAACGCCCGTGCTGAGAACTTGTAGTTGGGAGAGATGCCTGAATACGAGAGCCGGGGACAGTCGGCCTGGCAGCGGAGCGGAGAATAGTTGCTCCCTGCAGCCCTCTCCCTGGGCAGGCCCCGCTGGTTGGTGCTCATCACTATTCCACGCTGAGGTTTCAGTGAACTTTAGCCTTGGGCATGGAGTTTAAATGAGTAAATTAGGTGTTTTATGTGCATGTAATTTTGCTTTGTAACATAAAGCTTTTTACAAGATGACTAAGCGGGGAAAGGATGCCGATGGGTGGGTATTCCAAGGCCGAGTGAAATGACCCATTTGGTGGTTGGGTTGCAGTCAGGGCAGTAACTGAGCGGCGATCTATCACTTTTATGCACTGTACATGATGGAGTGCGATTCTGACTCATGATGACTAGATACTTTTTGTAGCAAAGAGCCTCGGTGCATTAGAGTACTTCCGAAGTTGCCAAAAGTGATGAGGATTTTCTTGTGTGAGGCTTTTTTTTTTTGTTTTTGTTTATCCTCCCTCCCCTTTTATTTTTATTTTTTAATTTTAATCCTCTTATTCTCGAGAAGGACCAGAAAAGCGGCCCTATAGCATTTCAGCATCGTCAGAAATGTCGGAAGATGTTAAGGGTTTGGGACTGTAATTCTCTCCTTGGACTGCAGTTAACACAGTAAAAAAGGAATACTCTTCCCAAAGTGGCTAAAATAAGCATGTTTCCTGTTAATGAGACATGCGACCTAAAGCAGATGGGATCGAGATGAATGGGAAACCTTAGTGTGTCACCTTAGAGTGCGAGGAAAAATAATGATTTTCTAAACTTTGTCTGTTCTCTGGCATTCTTTAAGTTGCTTGTAAACGTTCAGATTAATATATTTCCTCCTTCTTCGCTCCATCGGGAAAAGCAATGCAGTGTTCACATGAGAAAAAACAACTTATGGAATTGTCGTTGCCGTATAAACCAATGACATAGAATAGTACATAAGAAAAATTCCCGAGATGTTTATGCTTTAATAGCTTTGCGATGAAATGTGCAGAAAACGTGCTGAATTACTAGGCAACTGAAAGAAAGTAGCAATTATCAGATTCACACCAGTCTTTCTGAACAGAACTTCCCCAGTATTAGTAGTTGCACTCAGTAATGTAAAAACTAGTTCATAAATTAATGTCTAGTCACCTGTCCTTAGTGATTATCTTATACGCATGGCGTAATTGTCAGCGCAGTCACTCCTTTCTCTGTCAGAGAAAGGCAGGGTAAAATCCCTGACAATCATAACAGTATTGATGAATGAAATCATAACCTGAAAGATGTCTCGCTTGTCAGCAATTGATGGCCCCTATACTTGGTAAAATAGATTCTGATGAGTGGCAAAAATCCTCAAAACCTACTCCATTATGTTCTCGGCGTTGGGGATTTTTAGTGTCTTAGCTGGAATTGTTACTCATGGACTGTGGTTTCGAAAGTTTGTGAAAAGGGAAATACAGGCAAGCTAACATACATCTTTTCATAATTTGTTATTGAAATTACTTCCGAATTTGGGTTTCGTATATCTGTGCGAGTAGGTAACTTCACATCACCAAGAGATTCTTTATTTTTAAGGCTTTTTCAAAAGTCCTGTCGAAATTATTTTTTTTTTTTCAGCACTGTGTTTTGTGAAATGCTGCCTTTCTTCCCTCTTAGTTTAAAAAAAAAAAATAAATTAAAAATAAGAGACTGCTCTATTTAACAGTTAAAGTCCAATGCCTTAAGAATTCTTCATATGCTTATCTTAAACTTTGCAGAAGTTGTTGAACTTTCCTAAAAAATCAATCGGGCAACTCAAAGCAACCGCCTCTCACCGCTGTTTTCTAAGTTAAATGTTAAATTCTCTTCTAATTTTTATTTTTAAGGTGTGGGAGTGAAGTTGTAAATGGACAATGTTCTACTTCACTAATAAATCTGTTGCTTCCTCAGCTAAAGTTTGAACAATCTCTCTATTGTTGTGCATCCATTTTTTATCAAGTAGATTAAGTACAGTTTCACTGGAATCTTTTCCTTTCTCTGTCTCTCCCCCTCGTTTTTTTGTAACACAATAAAACCACCCAGGATTAATAAGAAATCTTCCCGTGTGATTTGTAACAATAGCTGTGTTGGAGCATGTATCTTGACAAATGTCATCATTTCTATGAGTCTTAGTCTCTGCCAGATTTATAAGAATATCTGGGAAGGTTTTGTTAAAGGGGTACTCTAGTTGGCTTTTAAAAAATAATTCCGTCAGATTATGGTGTAATTTCTCTGTAAACTGGGGTCACTTTTTTGGAGAAGTTTGGTTTGTTGTTTTTTTTTTTGTTGTTGTTGTTTTTTTAAGGCATCTTCTGCCTTGTTTAAAATAGTTATTTGTTCTTCCTTATGGGCTTATGATGCATATACATCTCTGTACATGTGCAGGCTGTATACGTATACATATGCGCACACGTGTACAACATATATTTTTTTTGAATCATGGCAGGTGATCTTTAGAGGCGGGACTGAGTATGGATCATTTGAACGAGGCAACTCAGGGGAAAGAACATTCAGAAATGTCTAACAATGTAAGCGATCCGAAGGGTCCACCAGCCAAAATTGCGCGCTTGGAACAGAATGGGAGCCCATTAGGAAGAGGAAGACTTGGAAGTACAGGAACTAAAATGCAAGGAGTGCCTTTAAAACACTCTGGACACCTGATGAAAACTAATATTAGAAAAGGTAACACTTTTTTAATTCTGCATTTGAGAAATATGAATTATAATATTTGTGGGGGGAAGCATACTTTTGTAGATTCTACTTCATTTATATTTCAGGATTAAATCTCCATTCTAAAATACTATATATTCCCAACTCTGATATAAATCACATTTGGGAAATGTAAGCTTCATGCTTGGGTGGAGCATCTTGCTTTACAGGGTGGAGTCTGATTTTTGCTAAGGTAAAGGCTAGCTGTCCTGATTAAAGCAAATTCCTACATTGAAATAGAAGTAATACGATGCGTTAATTCTTAGAGTCCGTGTTGGACTCAGAAACGCAGAAATCTGTAAGAATAAAGACTGAACTCCCAAAACAAATTCTCGCCTTTCCTCTGAATGATGGTACAATCTTGGAGGACAGCAGTATTTCCGTAACAGTTGGAAGTTGTTTTTTTTTTTTTTTTTATAGAGAGCGTGGAAATCTTGAAGTATCACATTGGAAAAGTCATTTATGATGTCAATCTTCGCAGTTTATTTTCTTAAGTACAATTCATTATTGAACAATGAACAACTTGGGTGTCATATTTTTCAGTGGCTGGTTTGCTGTAATTAGACATTTACAGAAGGAAAAGACACGTTTAGAATCACTGGTGTTTGTATATGGATGGCTTTTGTTTGCCTTAAAAATACTTTCAGTGGACAAAAATCTATAAATTTTGCATACTGAAATATATAACCTCTTTTTTTTGACCACATTCTGCAGGCTTCCTAATTTAAATAAAAACATGCTGTATGTAATTTTGCATTTCTATTAAAGCAGCCTTTACTTTTGTATAATTGGTATATGTTTATAATCCAGATTTTTCTTGCGTTTGCTAAGCTAAGTGCAAAATGCAACCAAGACTATTAAACGCACAAAGTTAGAAGGCAGAGGAATTTCATTGTGTCTGATGCATAACATTTATCGTACAATCATTTATTTTTTCCTCGGTTTGGCGAAAACAAAGAATATATTGATCCTGAGATGAACAGACACAGCAGTCCGTATTGTTAGATCTTTATCTATTAAAAATGGCAAAACAGCACTTCAGCAAATTCTTTGGCCTCTGCTCATGATTACCCTATTTATTGATTGTTTGCCAAGAATGTACGCATCTTAAGAAAGCCAGGGTAAGAGCATTAAAAATATAATTTATTACGGCTTTTCAAGCAGAGTGCATTAATATTGTACAGTGAAGCAGTGGGGCTATATAAAAAGGACTTTCTGACGCCTGCAAACATATAAGTTCCATAAATTCCTAAATAGGAGATTTCAGCTGTCTCTGGTATTATGTGATATTTGCACAGCAAACTTTAATGCCAGGACAGTTTTAGACAAGGATTCTACAGACTTCACTGCTCCTTATGGTAGACGTGCTGTTTACACAGACTCATAAACCTTCAGCAAAAGCTCTAACACTGCTTTCAGGTTTAAATCATGCTGTATTTTTAGCAGCGAGCACTGACCAGTGCTCTCCCCTTTAATACTAGAAGGTTATGGAGTTGCTGCAATTGGAGGTCTTGCCAAGTACTAGCAGGAGAGATCAGCCAGCTAAGGTTGTGCTCTCCTGTACAACATTTTTCACATTAACAGAAGGACACGAGTGACAGTTTGCTAAAAGATTTAGTAGCTTGATTTGTAGTCAGATGAGACCTGTGTTGCGCTACCAGGATCCACCTCTGATAAGCTGCACTGGACATAGGAATTTGGCCAGGAGCTTCTCCTGTGCTGTTTAAAGTACATTTTTTTAGAATGCTCTAAGTCCTGGGAGTGCATACATGTCAAAAAGTGTGCTGCACACAATGCAGTACCTGTGCATTGCTAGCTTTATCTAGTCATAACCTGATTTGTAGGAACTGATAAGGAAAAGGGCGAATCTGTCTCAGCTGTTTTTTAGTGTGTATGCCCTGTTAAAATGAAGCTTTGTTTACTTTTTATCTTCAGGTATTAGCAGTGAAACTACTTAAGAATTTTGAGCCCTTTCTTTCAGTCAGATGTTAGTAGGTGAAACATCAATTGTGAGAGTGTGAAGGGGGGAGGAGGGGGAAAGAACCAAAACCTTTTTGCAGATGAAGTACGTGTGTATGTTTTGGAAAGCTCTCTACAGCTTAATTAAAAGCAATGAAGAAATCACCAGTTTGCATGTACTGCTTTTGCTTTGGTCTTTTTTCCTTTCCTGACCAGTCTCAATGAGATTTAAAAAAAAAAAAAAAAAAGACAAAAAGACAAACAAACAACAAAAAACACACAAAAACCCGAAAAAACCCTCCTCCTTGCACTGCCTAAATATTGGCAAGCTTTTAGTCCTGTCTTTCATGCTGAGCCTATTGGGCAAATTGGAGTGAGTTTGTGAGCTTTTCCTGCAAGCCTGAAGGGGTTTGTTTGCCAGAGATTGACTCTCTGGTGAACAGATGTAGTTTAAATATACAAGCTTAAAAGGTATCTTTTTTTACTGTGATTTCTTGCTGTATGTTAGAGCACAAATCAACAGACGTGATCTTAAAGCATTTCTGTTGTCAACAGTAAATCTCTTCTCTCAGCTGCAGGATGCCTTGTGCACCAGAGCAGGTTAGGAAGCTCTGTCAGTCTAGAGGGCAGTGGTTATAGAGGCATTAACATTGTAGGACTAATTGGAGTTCCTGGGTGCCCTGTTAAAATAACCCTTGTCATCATTTATGCTAAAGATGATACCCCTCTGGCAGGCTGCCATAAGGCGGTTCGGTACATCTGCTTTTAACCCTTTGGTTTTCTGTCTCTGGGAGATTCTATCCTGGGACAGGGTTGAACCTGAGGCTGTGGGATAAGGTGCCCTTTATAGGTCGGGGGTGGGGGGTGGTTTTCTCCAAGTCTAGAAATCTGGCTGCTGGGAGGGACGTTGTCTTCCCTAAAACAGCCTGGGTTGTTGGTTAGTAACTCTGCCTGTTGTCGAGAAGGAATTTAAAAAACAATAAATAAAAAAAGAAGGGAAAGAGGCTGTTTGCTTAACATTCAGTGCAGAGACAGAGGGAAGGGTCTGTTATGAGATGCTACGAAACTGGAAATTAGTAATTGGTTTCAGGCATACTGAAATAGCAGTGAATACCAGGAATGTTGAATGCGCATATATGAAACAACAACAACAAAAAAAGCCTAAACTGCAGGTATGCTCCTTAAAATGGCATTGAAATCATGATTTGTTTCTTAAAGATGCGAGTGAAAGTAGTGCTCAAGTGTACTCAATGAATGAGGCATGAATTAGCGTTAACTTTTGCCTTGTTTCCTCGGGTGCCCTTTTCAGAGTGAATGTATAACATGTGAGGTGATTTGTTGTCGATGCTGAAGGTAATGAAATATTTTTGGCAGAACTGAGAAAGTTTTAGTGTTAACGAACAAAATTATGTGGCTGGTACTAAAATGGCTCACACTGAAGACATCTGCAGTGTGTATTTAGGTTCTCGTGCTGCCTGCTACTCACAACAAATCAGGCAGGACAGAGAGAATCAACTTCTCTTCAGTTAACCTTGTGATTCCAATAGCAGGTAATTCTTTCATCTGTATCCCGTCGAGGAAGATAAATTTGCATTTCTGCTTTTCATAGAGAGCGATGTTTTGCAGAACTTTATCTTTTTGAAGGAGGGTGAGGGGAAAGGACTCCGGGAATATGTTTATCAAATATTTGTGATGATTCCTGATGCCTCATCTGCCTGTTCATACAGGTTTTATTTACATAACGCTTTGTAGACCCACATACTCTACTATTACTTCAGTTTAATACATGAAATTTAATTTAATTTTTTTTTTTTTTTTTTACAGGAAGTATGCTTCCAGTTTTCTGTGTAGTGGAACATTATGAAAATGCCATTGAGTACGATTCTAAGGAGGAGCATGCAGAATTTGTGCTGGTGAGGAAGGACATGCTTTTCAACCAACTGATCGAAATGGCATTGCTATCCCTTGGATATTCTCACAGCTCTGCTGCCCAAGCTAAAGGTAAATAAGGTGATGAAATTGTATGATGTATTGTGTTAGTTTGAGGGACTCCGGGGAGGAGCAGGATTTCTTTCAGGAATGTGATGCAAGTTTCACTTGTTCAACTTCTAGCAGATTCTATCTTCATCTTTTTGTTTCTTTCCTTAATGCATTTTTGTTTAGTTAATGCATAGTTTGTTCGTGTGGAATATTGAGGTAGAGTCGTCTTTCTTTCTTTCTTTCTTTCCTTTTTTTTTTTTTTTTTTAAGAAAAAAAGACTTCAACTGAATCATTAGTATGCTTATTGACCTTAATAATCTGCTCCACTGAGGATCCACAAGGAAGTGTAAAGCATATTTGAGCAGATGGACTGTTGAGAGTCAACTTGCATTTATGACTGAATATCCAGCTCTGTTTCTTTTATTTTGTTCATTGTCATTTTATAGACTGCAAAGTACGATTATAATTTTCAACTCAGTCCTTGCAAAATCCTTTATAATTTATTAAGATTGGGAGCTATTATATCATGTCCTATTGAATTCATGGGTACTTGAGAAAAATATGCTTCTATACATATTAAAAGGTTCTCTACTGTAATGCATTTCTGTAATTTCATAATATAGATAAAGAACATCCATGGTGATGTTCAAGTGGGGTTGCATTTGGGGGAGCTGCTATTCTGATGGTCTGTTGTGCCACATTTCCAAGGCTAGAAATAAAAGTGATGATCTTATTAAAATTAGATATTTCTTTTGTTCCTAGGAATTAATGGGTAAATAACTTTTTTTTTCTTTTCTTCTTGCCCTCCCTCCTCTTCAATAAGTAAATAAATAAATGTGTATATTTACATGTATCCCACAGGGCTTATCCAGGTTGGAAAGTGGAATCCAGTTCCACTTTCCTACGTGACAGATGCCCCTGATGCTACAGTAGCAGACATGCTGCAAGATGTGTATCATGTGGTCACACTGAAAATCCAGTTACACAGGTAAGTTGAATACCAGTTCTGGGAAGTGAACTGTTACTTGTCTGTTCTTCTGGTTAATATTGCTTGTATTTAATTCCCGCTGTGCTGTGTGCTCTAAGTACAAAGGCTTATCTTAATTCCCTTTTAGTTACCCTAATTCTTTAACTTACAGCATACTATTGCAGAAAACTTTTATAGCTCTGATACATAGATTTTCTTTGGATATCTCATTAAAACTATATTGCATTTTAGTCAATTAAATGATGCATTACAAGAAGGCATTTTACATAAAGTTTACTTAAGAGAAAAATATTTTTGCATATCATGAACAGTACCATCTGTGTGCATTTTGTAAAAGAATGACTTGCTCACACTTATTGTTGCTGTCTAGCTTCTTAAATTTCGTGGCAACAAAAAAAGAAAAAATGGTTAATATATTAATGCTTTTCATGATCAGTTGTGAGAAAGCATTACACCTTAAATTGTTTTACCAAGCGCATCAGAGCAGGAAGGTAGAAGTAACATGAAAAAATAGTCGCCACATGCAGCTGATGTATAATTCATGCATCAATACAGCAGATGTGTTGTATAAAGTAATTAACTAATCGGAACAATCAGGAGACCGAGAGCAATCTCCAGATGCATCTGCTTGATGCGCAAAATGAAATCTGTCTGTCTTAAAGGAATGTTCTGCAGCAGGATGCAATCTTGTAATAATCCCTTTTCTAATCTGTGTTTCAAATAGTTGCCCTAAACTAGAAGACTTGCCTCCTGAACAATGGTCTCACACGACAGTAAGAAATGCTCTGAAGGACTTACTGAAGGATATGAACCAGAGTTCGTTGGCCAAGGAATGTCCCCTTTCACAGGTACTTAGCATAACATGTAATAAATAATAAAGCACTATCGGCAACACTGATGTGAGATTTGAGATTTCTACAGACTGCAGCAAGTAGTATCTGTGGAGCGAATCTGCCAAAAATGCAAATTCGTTTGACCACTTCATGATCTTTATAAATATGCTTGATTCATTTTGAACGTAGTCTTACAACGTTTCCCATGGGGAGTTGTGAAAGGCTGTTTACACCACACTAAAATTGTCTCACAGCAAACTGGATTTTAACTGGTTTTTGTCTTCAGTCTTTGAACTGCTTTGATGTAACTACTTTTTTCAAGCACATGTGTTCAAGATGTTAAAAGACTCTCTACTTACTGCTGTCAAAAGTACTACTGAATCTGAATGCTTGTTAGATAACCTGCAGTAGTTTTAAATGCTAATTCATAAAATGAGACAGTCGTTGGCATGCTGTATAAGAGGGGAATAAAAAATAAAGCTCTTTGGATGATATGTTGTTGTTGCAAACAACCAAAGGAAAATCAGCCATTTATTAGTTCTAATCAAAATAGACCTAAACAAAAAATGAAATCTCTATTTATGCGCTGTTAAATGTTGAACCAATTCTTCCTTGAAGCTTTATTCATATTCTTGTTTTCTGTCGTTGTTTTGTCAAATTGCCATGAGGGAGCAACTCCTTTTTCTACGCAGTATGGAAGCCAGTGGTACTGTGGTGGGAACTTTGTATTTACTGTTACTGTTTAGATGATTGTATTTTGTTGTGGTGCAGTAGAGAATTTCAAATACATGATACAAATTGTGGTAGGGAGAGGAAAAAGGAAGTGCAGTTATTTTTATGGAGATTTTATTTCTTTTGCTGGAAATATTGGAGTCTTCGTTTCTGAAAGACTTCAGTTAATCTATAGAGGACTTGACTCTGTTTTTCCAGCAGATATATTAGCAGGCTGTTTTCCCATCACTCTCTTTTCCCCTATGGTTAGATTGTTTTCAGTGATGTGGCTCCAATATAGGAAGTTTTGAAGTGGAAATAATCAAAATTATCTTCACTGGTTGCAAACCATTCTAGTGATACGTCTGCAAAGTTATCTTGCTCATACCTATTATAAAAGCATGTGAGCTTTTGCACTTCTCTCTCACAGTGTCTGCATGTAATTTGGTATTTTTTCTCAATTTTGGTACTCCAGGGTTAATTTTTGCTTTAGACTGATGGAAAACCAGTAAATTGTCTAGAGGTGGAACATTTCATGCATATGTTGGCATATGTTTCATGTAGAAAACTTGTGTATATATGTAGATGATGTACTTATAAAACAGAAGAACAGTTTTTAAAAGAAATGCTTTGTTCATGCCAGTATCACGCTACTGGAGAGATTTCAATAATTACTATTTGAAAAAAGAATTTTAAAAAACATTATTTTTTAATATCATAATTTTAATGGACAAAAACCACCTCGCCTAATAACTATACTTGAAGGCGGCATCTGAGATTACCAGAACCGCAAATTACAGAACTTTGATTTGGGGATGTTTCTGTATTATTTTGCACTATTTGTTTTGTTTTGTGTATATGTGTAAAATAATATATTTAAAGACGTGAAGTTTTTTTTTTTTCTGCTGTTTGAAGCATGCTTAGTATTTTTATCATCTGTTTACTGGTGCTGCAGTGGTTGGATTTCTTAGGAATTTAAGTTGTTCCTTTTTTCTTTTTTTTTTTTGGTAGTCCATTTCTTTAAGGATCACATCACATTAAGTTAAAAATACATTTATTTTGTCTTAATTTTTTTGGAAGAATAAATACTTGGTCAAAAGTCCATCAGTTGATCTAAATCTTCCTGTTTCTCTCTGGGAACTTGCGGGAAGATGTGGTCCAACAGTGTCCTTTTCAGATGATTAAATTGATGTGAATGCTTCCTGTATTTTCCTAATCAATAACTAATTGTATATTTTTCCTACACAGACAGGTTTAAAAGTGCCTGTTTTATTAAATATATTCAAGTTTGAATTCAAGCCTGCAGTGCTGTGCTGCTGTATCAGAGGTGAGAAGCACAAGGTAGAGAGCAATGTGTTCTTAGAGGATTTGTCAAAATTTCAGCATTAGATTCTTGTAAGAGAAGACTAGTGGTCTCTCCTCATGTGTACTTTCATGGGCATAGATTATGCCATATGAAGTGCTTCATCACAAATGCAAACTAGTGCAATGGTACTGTACCATAAGTTATTAACACTGTTATGGATATAATTTATTAACCACAGAAAAATGACTCAAAGTGGAAATTAGATTAGTTATCATTTTCTGTCAGTGTCATTAGCAGTACTTCGTTTTGTGTAGGTACGAATGGGTTTGTTGGAGAGAATATAAGCTGCTGTGCTCAATGCATGGCATTTGCGGAGCCCAGTTTAAGCATGAAAGACAGAGTCATCATCCTCACTTAGAGTTTACCTTTTTTTTCTTAATTCACCTTGCATTTTTATATTTGAAAATTGTCCTTTTTATGTAGAATATTGACAGTCTATGAAATGCAAAAATTCTGAGCAAAATATTTTTCTAGCACAAGCATATTTCATGTCTTGAATATACAGCAACAAGGAAACCTCCAGAAAGCTTAATGGCAACTTCTACTTCAGTGATTTTTTTTTTTTCCTGTTTGTTTTCATGTTAAACTAAAACCTTGGGATGTACAGATATTAACACTTCATGCCTTCCCCAGTAAAAACCACTATGACTCTTCCATTAGGAGCGCTGAATAGACAGGCTCCATTGAAGTTACTTCAGCTGTTTCATTCTGAGTCTGCCATGACTATCCTGTGATAGCCAGGTTTACCACTTGCTATGGGAGTCCACATGACAGGAAATCCCCATTGACTTGAATTGGAATCCTTGAGAAAGACTGGAGCAAATGCACAGCTCTCAACTGCCACAAAACCGAGAGCATAAGTCTGGAGACTTATTTTATTTTTTTTATATATTGGGAAAACAAAGTAGAAAGGTGCTACAGATTTGGCGTGGAAAAGCTGAATCTTTTCTGGATTATGTGCTGCAGTATATTTTGCTGCTTTTCCTCAAATTTACAGATTTTTTTGCTAGAGACTACCAGCACGTGGTAGTGCCAAGTGAAAGACTTCCTGTGTTTGATATGCATGGCTAGCTTTGTTTCTGCTTCCTTTCCAGATCTCTTTTGAAGGGGAAAGGGAACTTGGAATTTAATCCAGGGCTCTGTTTCGGGCCATCTTATGCATCCCATTAAACCTGTGCATCTCATGAGTGGCTAGGGTCTTGTATCCTTCTTGTTTTTGTTCTCTAGCCTCTAAAGAGTTATACAGAAATTGTTCTACCGTCAATTTTTATTTTTGGTCCCTTACAGTGAAGCTGTGCTCTACCTCAGTCTGTTTGGAGCTGCTCTTAAGTGATCAGGCATGTTGCACTTATTTAATGATACTCCTACCATCTCTCTGTTCAGCTTTAGTTCTAATATTTTTGTACTTCATTTTCACAGTTTTGCTCCATTTTGGGTTTTGGAGCTGAAGTCTCCTATTACTACTACAGCTAAAATAACTGAAATACTACAGACCCTATGTATGCTGTTATTAATAAGGATTTTTTGGGGTTCGTTTTTTTTTTTTACTGACTTATTTTCTCTCTCTCTTTCTCATTATGTGTATACGTGTTCACATATATACTCATATGCACACAAAAAAATTGGAATTTGGTAATTCTGGAACATTGGTGTGATTTTGAAGATTTAGATGTACCCCTTATCTTGAGTTCCTGTCACCTTTCCAAGGGAGGGAGATAACAATTCATCTACCAAACTAAGAGATTGGTAGATTAATTAGAGATTAATTAGAATCTGGGTAGCGCTTTTAGAATATGGCTGTGATCAAATGACATTGACTTTCCAACTGATATTATCTTACCCATTTTTTTTTTCTACAAAAAGATTTTCAGAATGATTGCTGTCAGTATTCACAAATAGCTTTGAGATTTTCACTTCTTTGTTTTATCAAGACGCTGTAAAAGCACTTGTGAAGGAAGGTATACTAGTCTTCCCTCATAACATCCCAAAACACAAAGTTCATTTTTGCTTTTTCTTTTTTCTTCTATCTTGCATGTCCTTTGAAACTCCCCATACCTAGCCTTACTCTCAAGGCAACCAACAGCCAATGCATTATGGAAGAGAAATTCCAGGACTGATGGATAGTAAAATCTCATAGATATTTTTAATATAGTTGGAGACATGAATATTTTCATGGAATATATCCAAAGTCTGTGGTACTTATATATAAATTACTGTGCACATATAGTGTTATTCTTTACATTTATTTTGAAAATGTTTATGTGTGTAATCACCTTCCCCTCCCCCCTCAGTGTCTTTTACATAAGTCTGCAGTAAATGATCAGGGAGGGATATATTCCGTAAAATGCGTGACTCCACAGAACAAGTACTGGTATGATACTGAAGTCTGAATAGTTCTGCACTTGTGATAAATATAGACATCTTGACTGCATTTTGAGCAAAATTCCATCCTGTAGTGAATGATTGCAGACATATGACATGGGCACGATATATATCACATACCTTGCTCTTTGTTCTGATATCCTGCCCTGAATTTGCATGCTGTTTTATGCAGATATCATGCAGGCTTTATGTGATCTGGCAGGCATGCCAGGGAGAAATCTTGCTCGCAATATCGGTGTTTCTCAGTTTACCTGATCTGAGTGTACCTGGCGGTCAAAGCAAACAAGCAGCATGATAGAGATATGGAAATCCTCTCACCTTTCCTGGCTGCTTCTCTAACAATCTGAACATCCACCCCCATCACAAACCAAAAAAGTTGCTGTTACTAAAATTAAAATTTCCAGACCTATAAATAACCAAGGAATGAGCTATTGAGAGTTGCCAAAATCCGTATGCTTTGTGAGCATTTTTTATTTCTTTCTTCACAAAACTGAAAGGTGGTTTCTGCGCTCCCCTTTCAATTTTGCCTGCCTAGACCTGAGACCAAGTACTTGGG